ATAGCACTGTTCTAGACACCCAAAGACGCTTTCACACACTCTCACATTCACACACTTTAGTGATGGTAAGCTACTTGTAGCCACAGCCGCCCTGGGGAGGTCTGACAGGTGAAAAACAACCCAATTTATCCACAATGGTTTCAGAACAAAGTCTCACTTAAGAGCAGCTGAATTCAGGTATTTAGTTACAAGCACGTGAACAGAAACATGTAGGTGGGGGTCAACCAAGCCCGACCATGACCTCTGGAGAGAGAGAATGTCTCCAGATAAGACGGGTGAACGTCAGAAATCACTCACACTCTTCCTCTCTCTCTCACACACACACACACACACACACACACACACACACACACACACACACACACACACACACACACACACACACACACACACACACACACACACACACAGTTGAGTAATTTTATCAATCCAGGATTACCTTAAGGAAAGTTCAAAGCACAGGAGGTTATAGTAATCAATCGATCAACACCAATACCAATAATCAACAATCATTTTAGACTTTGCAAAGTGGAGAGGAAAAGATTACACACCAGTCAAAGGTCACCAGTTCACTCTCATCGGACAGACGTCCTCCGAAAGCATTTATTAAACACACACACACACAAAAGATGAACGCACACACATTTTGACATTCCTTAGACTCTCAGGTGGAAAGCTGTAAAAAAGGGAGACTAAGCTTTCTCCAGGTGCACTAAATCAACAAAGCAGTTCCTGCACTTTCTCAAGGGAGTTTCACTGAAAAAGGTCGTTCCAAGGCTAGGTCATCCTCCTAAAACCTCCTCCCTGTAAGACCTGCAGGAGCCTGTCTATTAAGAGTAAAATAAAAGGATGAAGCTACGTTTAAACAGACACCAGATGTTTAACAGTCAAAACATTAATTCAATAATGTTAATACCAGTTTTTATCTAACACACACAGGCTCACAACACCGTGACATCACACTGCACCAGCAAACACCTCAGGGCACCTCCCAGCCAGGCAGATCCAAACTCAAATACAGTGCAGAGCTTTTATCTGACAACGGCACAACCCTGACAGCTCCAAGCCCAAAAAAATAAAGTTTGACCAAAATGCACCAAAACGCAAAACCACTAACCACACGTGTCTGCAGCACGACACACATTCACACAGTTTATGAGGAAAAAATTGAGCAGCACTTTAATGAGTCAGACCTATTGAACATCTTAGGATTCAGGAACTAAATGAGGAAAGAAGTTTATTTTGAGAGCTCTCAGAAACAAAGTTATGGCCAGTGAGACAACGATAACAAAAATGATAATTGCTACAATAATATCAATGTATCAACTGTGGGGTAATCAAAGGGTTAAAACACCACTTTATCAGTGTGGAGGTAGGCTTCTCACACATTTACAGGATTTAAGTAACCAATTTGTCAATTAAACCTTATAACCCAAACAGAAAATAAATGATGGAATAATAGCTCAAATATTGAAATAGTTACAAAACAGCCTTACTGTTGAGTAAAATAAAATAAAGTTCTTGGGACTACGATTAGCATTTATGGTCTGCAGGGGCTGAGTTGATATTTGCATGTCAAACAGGATTTGCATGGGAATTAACATACAGGAAAAACCTTGCACTGTGTTGATTCAATCACTATTTCATGTTATTAAATTAACCCAGTAACACCAGTAACTTAATCCATCAATGGTCGACAAGACACATTTAATGGGAAGTTTTTAAGGTTTATAAAAGATCTGAACACCTAAAACAGTCAACTGAGTAAGGTCTGCTTATGGCAGGAACACCAAGTTTAACATGATTTAGTCATATGATAAAATCCTGAGATACGAAAACTGTTACTGCATTGTGCAGAATTATATCACCCAAGAAAATAACCCACTAAAATAAAACTGCATAATCTAAACAATAATACAGAACATGGTGACACTAGCTTACATCTATCAGACTAGAAAATTTTAAAAATAGGTCTCATAAAATTAGAATGTTAAAATTCTACTTAATTAGTTCAAAAGGAAACAATAAACCAGGTCGAAATTAGTTTGGGGTTGTTTTAAACTATCTGTATAGAACTTTCTAAAGTTTGCAGTCCAGAAAGGAACAGCCTACCACGTGTGAAATAGAGACCATCTGGAGTCAAAGTTGTATTTTTTAAACTTAGTTCACAGCTAATCTGTTTCTGTCTGGTGAAATAGAGCTATGCTGGAATTCACAAGGGGCAAAAGAAAAGAGTCTGTCATTTTAAAATGGCAAAAGCTATTTTGAAGGTTTTGTACCTCTTAAACACAAAATCATGATTTACAATAATTTTCCCTTCAAATTCTGTAACTTGGGATCAAATCCATCAATAAAAGATTAGGGGGACTACTTAGGTCTAAAACCTACGTGATTTGTTTATTCTAATAAACTACATGATCTGTTAACAAGGGTATTTATGTATTTTAATAAAATAACAAAAGGGCCTGTAGACCAGAATTTCTAATTTAATTTGAGGCAATCGCGTGAATCTTCCCCATCATATTTGGGCATCCATTCAGCCGGTGAAGCTGAAGGAGGTAGTTTACTTAGGACGGATGTATTTATCCCTGCTTAACTGTATTTCCTTAACATTCTATCTAAGTCATGTTGTTTACTAGTTTAGTAAGAGTTATCATGCAGATAAGAGCAATGACTTTTTCGGATAGTATTTAGTTAATCACCACACCTCCTTTCTGTCTTCCATACACTCACTCACTGACACACGAACTTTTCCTCATTTCTAATTAGAATTTTGACCATTAAGATCCTAGAGATTAAACGTAAAATATAAAAATTTCAGAACCAAACATTACTTTCCCTACTTCCTATCGCCCTGTCTTCTTCCGCAAACATTTCTTTAAACTTACTATTGCCCTCTCTTTTTCCTCAACCAATTCTCTTTTCTCCATCTGTCTGCTTTTTTCAACCTTCTCTGCTAACCTTTCATTTCTTCCTTACCAAACCATCCCCCATCAATTAACACTTCGCTGTCTCTTCACTTCTTACCCTTTGTTCTTATATCCCATAAACACACACACACACACACACACACACACACACACACACACACACACACACACACACACACACACACACACACACAGACAGAAACGGAACAGATCAGGACCGACACAGAACCTGAAATCTGCAGGTTTCACACACACACACACACACACACACACACACACACACACACGCACGCGCACGCACACACGTACGCACGCGCACGCACGCACACACACAGACAGACAGAAACGGAACAGATCAGGACCAACACAGAACCTAAAATCTGCAGGTTTCACACACAACAGACTAGGCTCAGTCACACACATTCTCATGCATTCGGACTTTCCACCCACTCAGAGATCTCGGCCGAGACACACATTCAGGCTTCAGAACCTCAGCCCAAAGCTTCTCTCATACACACAAACAGAAACGAACCTGCAGGCTTTCACTCACACACATGCAGAGCTTTGATACACACAAATTAACATGCCAGTCCCCAGCGACAACTTTAAACAATACTCAACAAGTAAACACGGAAACCCGCAAGTCCACCCACAAAACGGAACGCAGCCCCATGACACCAGAAAAATCACACATAACACAGACCGGGAATTTTAGACCGATTTGAGATCTTTAAGCCAAATATCGGTGATTAATTTGGAGCACCTAAAAACAATGAGTTTACATAAGTGATTTTGCATAATCCAACCCTATTACGACCCACATTCCGTCGTGGGATGTCTTATGTACGCAGACAAAGACTGGATTACAACCTCCCTCCGTTCAGCCTCTCCTCTCTCAAATTGCTATCCGCTTTACCGTGGCTACACATCACCTCTCCCCCAGTGCCGCAGGTATGTTGCCAAGCCAGTATACATTTCGCACACATGTTCAATAAACCCAAAACGAGCTGGCTGCGCAGGCCAGGACTCGCTGCGAAAACATCTCAATGCACTTCCATGCAGACAGAGCTAAACAGCCCACCTGCCGGCAACTGCAAAAAGGGGTGTGTGCCTGTGCCGAACTGCGGTCGGCTGCTTTAACGCAGCGCTTTAACTGAGGTAAACGGAGTCCAGGACAAGGTCCAGCAGCTCTCAGACCAGCTTTCAGCCGGGGCACGAAACGTCTTTCATGCGTGGATTGCAAACATCACTTCCAGCGTAAAATCACTGTCGTCCAGTTATTAGGAAAAGGTGCAATTTAATTTAGGTACTCACTCGGCGTGCTGGCCAGACTGTGTAGCGATCTCCCACCGGAACTCTGCTCTCCGGAGCTGCACCAGAGCTGATTCCATCGTCTCCCTTACCAGAAACAGTTTAGCCAAACAATCTCACACGTCTTTTTCCTTTCATCAACCGAACTTTCTCACACACTCAAGAGCTTGTGGCTCACATGCACACGGCCGCAACTGGCCCACCGTAATCAACTTAAACCACACTGGCAGTGGTTAAAGAAACAGACGCAAATTAATGAACTAACTTAATGAATTAAAGAATTAACTAGAATTAACTTACTCTCCGCGTTGTAAATTCGTCCTGAGTTCCGAGCGCGAGAGCCTGTTGATGAAAGTCTGTCTGCAGAGCTATTTAGCCGGCCGATGGGACAATTTGCAGCCCCTCGGACTTTTGATGAAGAAGTGGCGCCACACGGCTCCCTGGAGACAATCTTCCATCCCTAGGCTCTGTGCTCCCCGTACGGGCCACCAAAATGATAGGTAATTTTTCATTTATCCCATATTACCTTAAAGGACGACACACACATAGAGAGAGAGAGTAGATTAATCATTCGTAATGTCCATGAGCGCGAATCAACATGTGAGAAGCTGGCCGCAGAAATCCCAGCCCCCACTCTGCTCCGGACAAAGCTCCTTCAGCTCACCAGCTCTGCTTACCCGCATTCTCCAACCAAAATGTTAGGTAATATTTAATCTCCATAACCCTGGAACCTGAAATAAACACACATGACAAAAGGAAGACATTTTACCCTGAGTCCCCAAAATAATGGAGAGTTAACGCAGAGGAACCTCCTCCGAGGCTTCCCCACGTCACTCCCCAGTCTCCTCAGTTTCCCAGGGGCTTTATTCAGCAAAGGATGGAGGAGAAGGCTGGGCCTTCTCAGGTTACAGAGGTACAGAGTTCAGTTGGAAACCCACAACCAACATCCTTGCTCAACCTTTCATGAACAGCCACAGTTGGCAAACACAGAGATTCATGAAGTGTTAATAACACAAATTGGGCATCTTTTCGGCCTCAAAAAGATACAATTATAAAATACCCAACAGCGGGACATTCCAAAAAGGAAGTCTCCTTTTAGAACTGCTGAGTCACTCAGGAACTAAGACAGTTCCTGTTGCTGGGCAGATTAAGACGCACGATATCACAGTGGAACAGAACACTTAAGCCTGATTTATGCTTCTCCGTCTGCGTCAGTGCGGAGCACACGCAACGCCATTATCCGTCCTTGCGTAGGGATCCGGCAGACACGCAAGTACGTACGGAGTCGAGCCCACTTTTTTAAACATCCGTTGAACGAGACGGATTACGCAAGCTTGTGATTGGGCAGGGCGCCGCTGTTGTTTACAGCGCCGCCATTGCAAAGAGAGCCGAGGATAACTAGCGGCAGACACGGAGAAGCTTGAAGAATACCTCGTGAAAAAAACTCTAAAAATATGAACGTTTCATTCTCCCGTGACTGGAGGAGTGAAAAGATGCACAGCAAGCGTTTTATTTGTGGACGGAAATGACAGGAAACGTGGGTTTAGAGGTGGGGAGCGCATGAAGCGGTGGAAGAATGAGAGACAAATATGATCTTGTTAAAAGTCTCTTATATACACAAAAAACACAATATAAACAAACGATCTTGGACCGGATACATGACATGATACCATAGAACAGCGCTACGCCCTCTGTGGTCCTGCCGGGCAATTGCTTTGCAACACTCTCCAGGAGACGGAGAAATAAAAGAGCAAAACGCTTCCGTCAATCCGTGCAAGTCTGTCCCTTGCAGAGCTGACGGAGAAGCATAAACCAGGCTTAAGACTTACATTTAGGGCATAAACATTTAAAAAGAACATTTGAGATATGTGAAATATAAAAAACCCTAACACTGGACTGTTCCTCATTCAGGCTCATGGATGCGTCGCAGCGCACATTAGAAACAGGAACAAGCGCTATTCGGCCAAAGTTTCATAACCAGGGAACATTTTCCAAGTGACAAGTCTCTCTGAGAGACAGGGTTTGGAAAACACTCGCTTCAGTGAGAGGAATCTTCCTGCATGCGCTGACAGCCAGCTGTGCTGAGCTTGATTGATTTAACTACCTCCGCGGTGTGCGTAACAATTAAAATGTCAGCGCATCTGCATGCGTCAGCATTCAAAAACGACCAAGCCTTGAGGTTTCTCCGTCCTGCATGTTTTCCAGCTATGCATGAAGTTGCAGCTTCTAATTGGCTGAACACACCTGATCCAGGCAATCAACAGCAGGAACAACAAAGATAGTTGGAAAACAAGCAGGACTGCGGCTCTCGAGGACCAAGGTTGTCTACCCCTGATCTAGGATAAAGAACAACAAGTGGTGCAAGACTTGTAACTAGGATGTACAAACAACAAGAATAATTTTTGGTTTTTGAGCAGTTACTTCTGATTTATATGGATTCTCGTGTCTGTTTTAAGTATTTTTTTCTGGCGAAATCTGTCCACAGACCTCACAGGGAAAGGGTTTTTGACCTGTGTGGATACTGATTAAACTGTTTAAAGTTGTCTTATGAGTAAATCTTTGACCACAGAGCTCACAGGAAAAGGGGTTTTGTCCTGTGTGGACTCTCGTGTGATTGTTTAAAGTTTCTTTACGGCTAAATCTTTGTCCACAGAGCTCACAGGCAAAAGGCTTCTGTCCTGTGTGGACTCTCATGTGATTGTTTAAATGTGTCTTTTGGCTAAATCTTTGTTCACAGAGCTCACAGGCGAAAGGCCTCTGACCTGTGTGGACTCTCATGTGATTGTTTAAAGGTGTCTTATGGCTAAATTTTTTATCACAAAGCTCACAAGCATAAGGCTTCTGTCCTGTGTGGACACTCATGTGACTGGTTAAAGTTGCTTTATGGCTAAATCTTTGAACACAGAGCTCACATGAAAAAGGTTTCTGTCCTGTGTGGACTCTAATGTGGATGTTTAAAGTTGCCTTACGACTAAATCTTTGGCCACAGTGCTCACAGACATAAGGCTTCTGCCCTGTGTGGACTCTCATGTGAATGTTCAAATATGCCTTTTGACTAAATCTTTGACCACAGAGCTCACATGCATAAGGTTTCTCTCCTGTGTGGACTCTCATGTGATTGTTCAAATGTGTCTTTTGGCTAAATCTTTGACCACAGAGCTCACATGCATAAGGTTTCTGTCCTGTGTGGACTCTCATATGTCTGTTTAAATTTGATTTTACGTTAAAAAATTTTCCACAGTCATCACAACTAAATGATTCAAGTTCTTTCTGGACGTTTCTGCATGAGTCTTCATGTTGCTTCACTTTAACATGTTTCTTATTGACCAAACAGCCTGATGACCTAATTGCTGAATGATTTGTCACTCTCACGTGTTTCTGGAGAGACCACTTGTGGAGAAATTGTTCACCACACTCAGGGCAGCTAAAGGACTTGTTGGCAGTCTTAGAATCTGACTCAGAAGACCCGCTCTCATTCCAGTCATTGTCTCCATGTTCAGATTCAGGCCCAGAGTGTGAAAGCTCTGAGTCTAGATTCACATCATCATCTTCACTAACTTCAGTCTCTGAAGAACCTGATGCCTCTTCATGAGGGTTCAGATTTGGGTGCCTGCTAGTTTCTGCTCTCATCTGGTCAGCTGAGCTGCTGGTTGAAACATCTCCGTCTTGTATTTGATGATGAAGCTGTGAGAACAGAGGTTTCTCTTCATCATCCTCACTCTTTATAGTAACAATAGTGAATGGAAACCTGGCCGCATCAGTCTCCTCCTTCAGATAGAGATGTTCTCCTTCTAGACTGGTCCAGAGTTCCTCCTGTTCCTCCTTTATGTGGAGGTGTTCTGGGTCCTGCTGGTCCTCACCAGCACTCTGTTCTTCAGGAGCTTCTTCTTTAACCACCACCACTTGTTGAACATCTGTAGGAAACAGAAACACATGATGTGAATTACCAGCTGACTAACCCTTTTCAAACTTTACAGTTCTATTATTGCTTTAAGTTGTTGAGATCAAAACTGAAACTGAAAATAACTTTTGAGTAGAATGAATTTTTACTGTGAGTTGAACTCCAAAAGTTAAAAGTAAATAGGCTAAAGCCTAATTCATACTTCTAATTCTGTATTTGTACAGAGACATTCAACACCATTATGAGCCAGCTCAACAGCTCCCCGGCAGGCTGATTGGCTCGGTTAGAATTCTCAGGGGGTGGGGTTATTTGAACAGGAGAGTTCCCAGACTCTTTTTCTGTGCAGAATTAAACAGGAGGAGTCTGGCTGGCCAGGCTCCCGAAAGACTTCCAGAGGGTGACAGAGACATGTCAAAAATTTTAAATATCCATCAAAATTGATGGAGACTGTAAGCTTGTGATTGGTCAGGACGCCACTTCCTGTAAATTGGTTAACAGCATCACCGTTGCCCCGTCAAAAAGTAAAAGGAACAGATTGAAGAATGCATTTTGGAAAAAGTCAGAAAATATAATTACTGATTCACCTGTGACTGCAGGAGTACAAAGCTAGCGTTTTATTTGTGTACGTAAAAGATGAGAAAAGTGAGTTTTGAGGTGCCGATTGCAAGAAGAGGTGGAGGAGAATGACGGACAAATTTGTGTTAAAAAGTCTCTGAAATGCATTACAAATAGAAAACAGTGCAAACACATTAGTAAATGCACTCATCTTGGACCCAATATGTTTATGTTTGTTTATCTGGCAGACGCTTTTATCCAAAGCGACGTACACGTTTTAACCTATAGGGCATGTTGTGATCTGTGGGGTAAACCGGAGTACCCGGAGGAGAACATGCAACTCCACGCAGAAAGGCTGCAGCCAGGTTTCGAACCTGCAACCTTTTTGCTGCAAGGCAAACCACACATTTGAGACATTAGAGGACAAAAAAGTCTGCTTGTAAAAATGGCTACAATTGTGTGATTGTTATAAGTTTTTGCTTTATTTCATAGATCTGGTAAAGTGGACATATCATGCTTACAAATTCTTCCTTTTTGCATCTAAATAATTCAGTTGTGGTTCATATACAGCGGAGGAACTCAACGTGTTTTTAATTACTCAGTGCTATGTCTAACACATATAGTTATTAAATGTGTTTTTAGGTGTACCTGTGGTAATTGCTCTACAATGCCCACTGAAAATCAATGCTGTAGAGAAATTCCTGAGGTCAGTGTGTTACAATAAAACTGATTAAACTTCGCTGCCCTCCAAATAAAATATCATATATTAGGTTAAAGCTGTATGGATGAAGTATCGAGCCAACTGAAATGCATGGTGGATCATCCCAGGTTGGAGCCTGCCTACTTCAGTGTGTATTCACTCCAGAACGCAATAAATGTTTACAAGGCCAGTCTGGACCCTTACGTCTAAGAAGAAACGTGCTGTAAGATTTTTATTATTGTTTATTGACATACTAATACAAAAAAGTAATAAACTTACAGCAAACTAGTACATGAAATAGTAATAAATTGAAAAGCTAAACTATTTCAATGTTACATGACATGTATTAGTATCTCTGGGTTTTGTTTCAGTCATAGATACTGTTCATACAGATGCTTTGTGTCCTGGTGCTGGCGATATCTGGGCCACAAAGTTTGTGTCGCGTCTGCTGGGATCATCGGGATATGGCAGGAGTTTCCTGGTGATGAGGGGCAGATTGTGGGCTTCACACTGGTGCTGGACTGAAGCGGGAGACATAGAGAGCGACAACTGTTGTCCTGTCTGGCCTGGTGTACTCAGAGGAGAGGGTTGGTGGGAGCTTCATCTTTGCCACCTCATCTACAAGTAGATCAGGGAAAACCTGTTACAAGACCAGCTACATGATGTCATCCACGTATTCTGCAATGACAGACGATAGCAGTGCTGATGTATTTATTATTATTTACACTACTGTTTATAAATACATGTTTTGTTGTGTTGTTTTAGTTTATTATTTATAAGTTCACTTTGCTGCTGCTATTAGTTTAATAAAATACTGCCACTACAATCATTCAAATGACTGGACTCAAATTAGCATATTTGAGAGCAACACCATTGAAGTTTCTAAATGCTGTAGCTGTTCCTGAACATGTTACCATACCATACAGCATGAGAGCCGACCAAAGCACCTTACATAAAGTACAGAAAGTACTAAAACATACTGTTGAGTTAAAACTGAACAACTGGCAAATAATGGCAAATTTGCCTCCAGAGTGAACAAACTCAGCTGCTCCTTTCGAATTCACCACCGTAGACTTGTTCGGCCCATACGAAGTTAAGGATGAAGTCAAGAAAAGAACCAAACTTAAGGTATGGGGAACCGTCTTCTGCTGCATGGCTTCCCGTGCCATACACACAGATGTGGTAAGTGACCAGTCATCAGAGGGTTTCCTGTTGGCCTACCAAAGGTTCACTTCACTGAGAGGGCACCCCAGGAAACTCTGGTCAGACCCTGGCACCACCTTTGTAGGAACCAAACCTGCTCCGCAAACGCTGTATAAATTCCATGACCAACTAAACAAGTCGGAAGTTGAAGACCCAGCTGCCAAGCATGGAACAGAATGGGTTTGGAAGATCCACTCTGCAGATTCTCCCCATAGAAATGGTGCAGCAGAGGCAGCTGTCAGAATCGTGAAGCAGGCCCTAAGCAATCTTGGTGGAGATGGTGTCTTCACCTGGGGTGAATTTCAAACCTTTCTCTTCATGGCAGCCAACGCCAACTTTGTTAACGAAAGACCTACTGATGCCAGAACTCAAAGCAGGGAAGACTGTGTGGAGTACATCACCCCAAATTCACTGCTTCTGGGGCGTGCAAGCCCAAAGGGAGACCCTGGAGACTTCCAGTTCAATGGCTATCCATATGAAAGGCTTAAAAGTATTCTAACAGAGGTCAGCAAATTCTGGAATAACGTGGAGCCAGTTGGCTGGACCAACCCTATTTGTACGGAACAAATGACGCACTAAAGAGCGGAATGTCGCTGTGGGAGATGTGGTCTGGGTAGCTGGCCAAAACGCCCTGAGATGACAGTACAGGCTAGCCCGAGTTGACAGCCTCAACACTGACAACAAAGTCATTGTCAGAGATGTGTTTGTGACCTTCCCCAGTTATCCTGTTTCTATCAGAAAGATAGCTGGAAAGGAGCCGGCTTCAGAATCCGATAAACATAACAACAAAATTCCAGCCACAATCCTTCATAGAGATGTCAGGCACATTGTCATTTTAGTTACCATTGAAGAACAGAAAGAGCAAAGTACTGGTGTGACCTCATTGGGTTTGAGAAACCATGAGCTCAAGTGGGAGGTGTTGAGTTAAAACTGAACTATTGGAGGTGATAGTGCTCAACCGCCACTGAGAACTACATCCCCCAGAAAGCACCAGCAAAATGGCCACCGATTGATGATGAAAAACACCTGGGCAAAGATGGTGGGGGTTCTGTTCTCAGTCAAACAAGGAACAACAAGCAAGCAAGCTCTACTCATGAGTTGAGTCTGTAGACACCAATGGTTGGTGAATATTACTTTATTAATGATAAGTTGTTTAGGTTGACCATTAAAGTCGTGTTGCTTATGAGTTTGATTAAATACAGGTGTCTTCAAGCATGTAGGCATTTGATTTGTCACAGTCACTGTCACACTTGATGCTTTAATTTCCATTTTTTAAAATGAATTGAAACCTTAATTCATTGATTAAATTTTAGTGATTCAGTCATGTTTTAATTTATTCATTTACACTTTTAGTGTAGGAAGTTTTGGTTTAGAAATTTCTTTGTTTATTGTATTTTATATAAAAATATGTGATGTTTAACACTTGTCTCTGTTCTTTGAAGGTTATCAACCTGATGACTTAACTACATTAATCACTAAACTGGAATAATAAAGATTGATGGAAAGTGAAAGTAAGGAGTTGTCCCAAAGTGTCCCTTTGGAGTGTAAACGAGAGTGGAACTTAACACATACTTCATATTATAAACACAGCTAAGGATAAAACAGCCGCTGAAATGGTGATTCTAAAAAATAAAATCTAATAAAAATATAAATTAAAACAACTAAAAGTAAGAATTTAACAAGAAACAAGTCAAGATGTAAAAGCCAGGTCATAAAAGTGCTTTTTCAGTTGTGACTGAAAAACATGTTGACTGGCGGATCGTAAGAGAACAGAACAGGCACCAAATGTACAACAACCCCCCCCTCCTTTTATAATTCAGAGGGTGCGTTGGTACGTGCAGCTGTAACAAGTCAGCCAGGTACATTGGTGCCATGCCATTTAGTGCTTCAGAACAAAAACCAGGATCTTCAACCGAACCATAAACAGGACAGGGAGCCAGTGCAAACGCATTAGAATTGGTGTCACATGATTCCGCCGGTTTGTGTTGGTCAAACCTTGCTACTGCATTTTGGATCAACTTCAGTCTGTTTAAGGCCGAGGCAGGCACACTGACAAGTAGTGAATGAGCGTAGTCTTACCGGAATGTGATGAAGGCATGAATCACACACACCAAATGCTGTCCTTGGACAAAACAAGCCCCCACCACTGCAATAATATGTGGTAACATTGTAAATGCAGCATCCAGCCTCACACCAAGACTGGTGACATATAAGTAGGAAAGTTTGGGACCAGTGATGTGCAGGTTAGATTTCTAGGGTCAAATAGGATTGCCTGTCTTTGTCTCATTCAGTGTTTAAAGATCTTGCAGAAAGCCACTCCTTCACTGCAGTAAGACAGCTGCACCATCGATCACTACATAAATCTGGCAATCATCTGCATAATTGTGGTAGCTGATGTTAAAATGCTCAAAGATCTTCTCCAATGGTAACATATATGGTGAATAAGAACTGCCCCAGGACAAATCCCTGTGGCACCCCCCCCCCCCCCCCCCCCCCAATTCAGCAGAAGCCAGGGCAAAGCACGGGTACCCAGCTGCACACTAAACACTCTGTTT